AGTTAGTGATTTAGTTAGTTAGGTAACTTAGGATATTAAGTATAATTTTAACTGAATATCTGCCTATATTGATGGCATGTAGGCTTCTAAGCAAAATAGTCACCCCACAACTCTCGTTTCAGCATACACACACCATCTGGTATTCGTGAGTGAAGTGGTAGACAAAACACTAACACTATTCTACAAGTTTTCCATCCCAGCGGCAATACTAACAAGTATGACGAGAGACATTTGGGTAATCCTAAAGCTTCCGCTATAACGAGGTCATGTTCCTCGTTATTGTAGTTTATGTTAGTTCATATTAACATCTAACACATTTAATAGGAATAGACGCCAGTGTTCCAACATTTATTAGAAAGAGTGTTGTTGATGAAGGAGCTGTATGTTTGGATGGTAGCCCACCAGCATATAATTGGGATGCTGGGAAAGGTGAAGGTGCGCGCAATTGGCTACTTCACCTTCAAAGAGGCGGGTGGTGCTTGAATAGTACTCTTTACCAAACATCCGGTCATAACATTCAAAGTTGTGCAAGCCGTGTGTATGGTTCCCTGGGTTCTTCTCTACACATGACGGTCGCTGATAACTTAACAGGCATGTTAAGTGGTGACCCCAAAATAAGTGCTTTCTACAACTGGAATCGAGTCTTCACTCAATTTTGTGATAGATGATCATTCGGCGGAGATGCTGAACAACCAGATCCTGTTACTAGACATTACTACAGGGGTGCCCGGATTTTCAATGCGCTTGTGAAGGATTTGTGGGCCAGAGGAATGATAAATGCTCAAAATGTACTTCTTTCCGGCGGCTCAGCAGGAGGGTTGGGTTCAATCATACACTGTGATCGCTTTCGAGCTCTATTTTCTAAGAATGTTAGAGTGAAACGTCATGTCGATGGTGCTCTCTTCATTCGTGTGAATATTCCCGAGCAATCAAAATTCTTTGCTACTGTTTTTCGCTGTGTAGTTGACCTACATAAACCTGACAAGGAATTACCAGTTGAGTGCACGTCAAAACAGAGTCCATTTGAGTGATTCTTCCCAAAATCTTTGGTGCAATATGTGTAATCTCCAATTTACTTCCTCAATTCGGCATTTGATGCATTTCAGATAAGAAATACATTTTTGAAACATTTGTGAGAAACTAGTATGAATTACACCGTTAGTAAAAGTGATGTGCATATGATAAAAGATTCCAGGCGACAACTGATTAGTGTATTGGCCCCATCAAGTAGTGAAAAACGATTTGTAATTACTTCTCTCTTCGCACATACCTTTACTCCACAAGGCTTGAAGAAACCCATGTCCGTCGATGAGAAATTCGAGACATTGGAGAGGGCACTTATGGATTGATTTTTCGACAAACGTTCAGTGAACAAGATAGACCCAACAGAGATGCTAGTATATGTGCAACGCTAAATTGTAGATAGAGAAATATATACTTACACCTCTGTTGTGTCTATCTTGTTCACTGAACGTTTGTCGAAGAAACAATCAATAAGTGACCTCTCAAATGTCTCGGATTTCTCGTCGATGAACATGTGTTTTTCAAGCCCTATGGAGTAAAGATATTACTACTTGGTGGGGGCAATACACTAATCAATTATCGCCTTAAATTTTTTATCATACGCATATCACCTTTACTAACGGTGTGATTCATAATGGTTTCACGCAAATGTTACGAAAATGTATTTCTTATTTGAAATGCATCAATTACCGAATTGAGGAAACAAGTCGGAGATTTCACATATTGCACCAAAGATTGTGGGAAGAATCACTCAAATGAACTCCGTTTTGAAGTGCACTCAACAGGTAATGCCTTATCAGGTTTATGTAGGTCAACTACATTGCGAAAAACAGTAGCAAAAATTTTGCTTGCTCGGGATTTTCACACAAATGTAGAGAGCACCATCGACATGACATTTCACTCTAGCACTCTTGGAAAATAGAGCTCGAAAGCGATCACAATGTATGCTTGAACCCAACCATCCTACTAAGCCGCCGAAAAGAAATACATTTTGAGCATTTTTCATTCCTTTGGCCCACAAATCCTTCACAACCGCATTGAAAATTCTTGCACCCTTGTAGTAATGTTTAGTAACAGGATCTGGTAGTTCAACATCTTCGGTGAATGATCCTCCATCACAAAATCGAATGAAGACTCGATTCCAGTTGTAGAGAGCACTTATTTTGGGGTCACCACTTAACATTCCTGTTAAGTTATCAGCGACCGTCATGTGTAGAGAAAAACCCAGGGAACCATACACGCGACTTGCACAACTTTGAATGTTATGATCGGATGTCTGGAAAAGAGTACTATTCAAGGACCACCCACCTCCTTGAAGGTGAAGTAGCCAATTGCGTGCACATTCATCTTTTCCTGCATCCCAATTATATGTTGGTGGCCTGCCATCCAAACAGACAACTTCTTCATCAACAACACTCTTTATAATAATTGTTGGAACACTGGCGTCTGTTCCTATTGAATGTGTTAGATATTAATATTAACTAACATAAACTAGAATAACGAGGAACCTGACCTCGTTATAGCGAAAGCTTTAGGATTACCCAAATGTCTCTCGCCATAGTTGTTGGTATTGCCCCTGGGATTGTAAACGTGCAGAATAGGGTTAGCGTTTGGTGTACCACTTCTCTCCTGAATATTTGATGGTGTTTGTATTCTGAAAACAGGAACTGTGGGAGGACTATTTTTCTTAGAAGCCTACATGTCATCAATATAGACAGATATTCAGTTAAAGCTAAACTGAATATCCTAAGTTACGTAACTGACTAAATCACTAACTCACTTAATCATCTATTTGCACCACAACCACTTAATTAATACAATATATTATAATATATTATATTAGTGAAAATACTGACATTCTCCCACTTAGTGCAAGTACAGTCACAACCTCCATTAAAGAACAAAACACATGAATCAAAGTAATATGTCCTCTACTGATCAAGTGAGTAATATCTTCTATGATCATATGCATTTAGATTCCCTAACTTAGGTTCTTTATGAACAAATCATACGTTTATTATTAGTCCCTTAATGGATGTTTCTCAAAAAAAGTATATGCGCAACTGAAAAATAAACCATCCAAATATGCATACTGTATGATCCCTAAAATCTTTAAAAACATGCCTTAAGTAGGAATCTCTTAATGTAAGCATAATGTCAAGTATATTCTATGACTACTTTATAACTTTAACACTATCTCTAATGGCTAAGAGCTTGAAGTTGACACGTCTGTCACCCCCACTCATCAAAATAATCAAAAGATAGCTTAGTCACAAAATGAAAGGAACATTCTGAATCTTAAATTTGAAAACTTAAACATACACCACAACTTCCCAAATAATCTCAGGCTCACCTCAAAATTAACTGAACATTATGTGTCTTAGTTATATTCTTATATATCTTGCAAAATTGTTTTGAGTCTTACAAAATAAAATGACTCGGGATCAATTTTGACAATCATTATTGTGTGGGACCATATTTTGTATACCGTAAAATAATGTACATTCAGTACAAAAATAATTCACATTCAGTTAAAACATAATGTACATTGTATTTAGGAGATGTACATTATTTGTGTACTGAGTATACATTATATTGTATAATGTACATTCAGTACAAAAATAAAGTACATTTAATATTTTAAAAATGTAATTTTTATTATGGTCCATACAGTATTGTATGGACCATGGTCCACACAATAATTTGCCTAATTTTAAAGAAACTAAAGACTCTATTAATTGCTAATGAATTTATTAATTGTAGAAAGTACTTATTTTGTTTTCGTTTTTCTTTTATTTATTGTATTTATTAATATTTTAAAGTGATGTGATATTGGGGTTCACTTTTAAATAAATAAATAAATAAATAAATATATATATATATATATATATATATATATATATATGTATATATATGTATGTATATATAAATCACAGCCATTGGCTTAATTAAATGAAAGGATCAGATTAAGCCAACGGCTGTGATTTATATATATATATATATATATATATATATATATATATAGATTCCGGATCAGGTGAGGGCCTATCCTTAGGTGAGGACGTGAGGACTAATCTGATCCTTTCATTTAATTAAGTCAACGGCTGTGATTTAATTATATGCAGTGAATTTAATTTTTCGTACTCATTTTGTTGTGCATTCGTACTCATTTTGTTGTACATTCATTTTCAATTTGTTGTGCATTCTGTGTTTGTTTGTTGTGCATTCTGTCTCAGTTTGTTGTGCATTCTGTCCTAGTTTGTTGTGCATCTATCTCACTTTTTTGGGCAGCGCATTTTTGTTTTGTCGTAGCCTTTAGATCACTCAAAATGGATGATCTGGATTAGTCCTCATGTCCTCACCTGATCCGGAACCTATATATATATATATATATATATATATATATATATATATGTATATATATATATAGGTGTTGGATGCAATACCTAATGTAAACTAGACAGCCAGAGACCATCTTACAAAGTTATGCACATCAGTGATTACCGTTCTGTGTAATGAAATGATGAAATAATTGTTTACAATACTTGAGTCATGCAAAAAAGTTTTAACATATATTATGGCTTCAATGTATGTAATAATCAATTGACATTATTACTAATAATGCACATAAATATTAACCACATAAAAGTAGTACTAAAGCAAAAAATAATTGAAAAGTGTGAAGTCAATTACCTATATTAATATTCTTCCACATTAACTATATTAAGATTACAAGCTGAAATATTGTGGGACCAAATTGTTTGTTTTTCCTAATTATAATTGATTGATAGAAACAATCTCACTTTAGATTGATGTTGTAATATTCATTGATTCAAACTCATTCATGCATGCATGCTGACTCCCCAAAAGCATTACATGAAATAATCTAGACATAGTTTTTTTTTTTCCAGTATTATTAAGCATATATGACACAACCAATCAATATAATAATAATAAAAAATACAATATTTTTTCAGAAGAACGGACGTACGACGAGCTGACGGACGGACAGCCTGCGCGGCGGACGGACGACGATCGAAGGAGAAGGCCGGGACGCGAACGACAATCGGAGGAGAAGGCCGGGACGACGACTGGCTCATCAGCTCTCAGCGCGGCTGTTGCGATCGGCGATTATTTTTTTTTTTTTTACTTGGGTTAAAATTCAATTCGCCCAATCTGATAGCTAGGGTAAATGTTGAATGGGAATCCGAGGCTCCGGTCTAAGAGGGTGCCTCGGATTTCAATACGAGTATAATAATAATATTATAGCCCGGCTCCGGTCCATCTGGGAGACGCGGATTCTAATATTATTATTATAATAATATTATAGCCGCGACTCCGGTCCATCTGGGAGATGCGGATTCTAATATTATTATTATAATAATAATATTATAGCCGCGGCTCCGGTCCTTTTGGGAGACGCGGATTCTAATATTATTATTATAATAATATTATAGCGGCGGCTCCGGTCCATCTGAGAGACGCGGATTAGCATATTATAATAATAATAATAATAATATTTCCAAGGCACCTCCTTGTAATTGGTGCCTTGGAAAGTTCTCTCTTTTTCTATATAAGACACCTTCATTTTGAAGGTGTAGTGAAAAATATTACTTATATTTTCAAATACTACTTATATTTTCAATTCTGTACTAGTGAATACACTAAGAATATATGTACCATTGAAACTAGCTCGAAAAAAGACAAGTTTCAAGCATTATATTTATATTACTCGTACGTGTAATTGAAAGTATCATAACTATATGTTGGATTAGTTACGTTTTTAATTCGTTCACGTGCAATAAGTTCATGTGTTTAGAGCATTATAAAATACAATTTCAACCGCCAAGAGGTGCAAGTTTGTAATTCTCAGAATTCACCCAAGACCAACAATAACAACCATTATTACCCCATGTGTTTAAAACCTTTGAACAACAATCGTGAGAGCGACCATTAATTTCATCTACTTAAACAATTCCAAGAATTAATTTTCAACATTCATCGTTTGTTTCTTCTTTTGAACATGTGAGAATTTGAAAATCACATGATGAAAGTCTTAGTCTTCCCATTGATAGCTCCCAGTACAAAACTAAGGTACATTTTATTTTCATATAATCTATGATTGCTAGCTAGCTTAAGCTTAATCATCTTCTCAATTAATAAACTTCTTTAGACTGCAACAAGTACATATACAAGCATAGGATCAGATGGTGTTCATGATCACATACTATACTTCATCCATGCCCTGCTAATTATGGGAATGGATATCTGTCTATTATATAAATGCCTCTCTTGTCAAAGTACCAATCTCTAAATAGTTTTGCAATTGTCTGTCAAAAAAAAAAAAAAGATATACATAAAGTGAAATAATATTTGATCAATTATATAAAGATAAATAATTAATTTAATTTGGGTTGATTATATACCTCATTACTCCCCTCAATAACCATGTCTAAATACCAGTTTTTCGATGTTTCTTGTCCATGAGCACTAGGGGAGGTAATCAAGACCCCTTTTGATGAAGAATTCGATTGATTTGGCAATAAACTCAAAAATTCCTGTCTGAAATCTGAAAAATTTTACATATATAAAATACATAACTACTTGATCATGATGTGTATGTAGTTCTACTATACATGCATGTGTGAATGTATAATAATTAAGAATTACTTTTTGTAATGAACAGATACTACATTGTAATAGAGTCAATAGCATTCAAAAAAAAATTATTTTTTGTACTTAAATTAAGTAGTGCCAACCTTGTAAGACTCTATAAATCTCAGTTGAACAAAAACTATCATCCAAAATGCAACTAAGTATTGTTTCATTCCGTTTAAAAGTCCATGTTACCTGAAACATATTAAAGGAAAAATAACAACATTTATAACTCACACTACGAATGGAAGACAAATGAAACTAGATTATAAACAAATACATATATATACACAACCACATACATATATATATGGACTGCTTAATTTTCATCTTTTTAATTAATGTAACAATATCGTATAGCATATAGTGCATTTTTAGCGTAATATACGTACTATCATCTAACCTGAATAATATCATATGCAGACATCAAGAAAAAGATAGGAGTTTGGATGTCTTGCTGCACATTCTGAGGAAAGAAGCACTGCATCCATTCACAAATTCACAATAATTAATATAATTATATGATGTCCAAATAATTAAAGCTGAAACAATTAAAATTAAGATATTAATTACCAGATGTGGACTTAATCTCGATGTGCAAGTTTTGGGTAACGACTTAGTCGATCCCTGATCCATATAAACAAATTAAAGCAAATTAAATTTTTGATTTGATTGTATAAATATAAGTCTCTGCAAGAAATAAATTGTATATAAAAAGCAAATTGATTCTTTATTGAAAATTTTTTATGAACCTTAATTTATCGCTCACAAACCAATTATTTTTTACCTACAATGACAAAATCTTAAACTTTAATTATTTTTTTTTTAAAATAATCATACGTACGATCTAGGATTTTACCACGTTATAGAGTAGTTAGCTTAATTTGTGAGTGGTAAAATTAGGCGTTTGTAGCATAGTTTATTTTTATTTACTACTTAGTAAAGAACAAAACATATATATACACACCAATGTTTTTATATATAATTTTTTGAAGATGTAAAACAAAGGAAAGAAGAGAAAAGTACATGTAATGTTATCAATCCTTGAAAGGTTGGTGTAAAACTGTTCCTTTCATCTTCGAATTTTTTCCTGTTAATTATGAATTATATATACACAAATATCAAAAGTCATGTAATCTTTTTATATGTCAAAGTTTCCTACAATAAATTATACGATCAATATATCAAACTAAAAGTCTAAAAAAGAAGATAGAAGTTTAATATAATTATATATGAATCTTACGAAGGAAAGAAATATCCGGCATCTGACAAACATTTTACTCGACTAGCATGAGGTAACAAATTGCGAAATCCATCGCAATGAAGTGTGGTTGCAATCCCTCCGGCAGAACTACCAAACAAAAGTGCCTACAATATAATAATAACAATAACAGCAACATCATCATCATCAACAACAACAACAACAACAACAATAATAATGCTTCATAGGGCTAGATGCACGTACAATAGGAAGGCAAATATAAACTCTGATCATATCTGCATACACTATTGGAAATTAATTATGGAATTTCCGACCACCTGAAAGTGATCTTAAATCAAGTTGAAAGCCTTGTTTCGTCCACTTTTGGTATCCGGAAAAACCTTTGTTGCTATTTCCGACCACTTTTTGCTTTCGACTTGATTTAAGATTATTTTCAGGTGGTCGGAAATTTCATAATTTTCAGTAGTGATATATAGAAGTAGTGTGAAATTCTTACATTTTGGGCCATTCCCATTCCCTTCTGAAGCAACTCTTGCATAACTGCATCGAAAATCCTAGCACCTCTGAAGTAGAGATTGGTACCCTGCAAAATAGTACACTTACACTTTATTACTTAGTTTGCAAATTAAATAATACACACACAAGGTGTACACATACATTGTAAGTTGTTTGGGAGTCGCCTGTGAATGATGAACCATCACAATAAGTGATCGCAACTTTATTCCAGTTGAAGAAATCTATAATATAATATAAGTTAGCACAAAAATAATTTATTAGTCATCAATAAAGAACTTGGAAACATTAAAATGTGTATTAAATTAAAAATATACCTGAATTTGTTTCTTCGTTGTCGCTCATAATATTACCAAAATAGAATGGTTTTGGATCTGAGGACATATTTTTAGCATTAGCATATGTGATGCAATATCCAGGAGTGGCGCACCATGCTCCTCCCTGAAATTCAAGTAAATAATTAATTTAATGATTGTGTCTTATAATTCAAAAAAAAAAAAATTGATTTGTATCTTTTTTGTTTAATATGTATACACTTAGCTTACAGGAAGATATACAATCCAATTGTTAATTCCATTGCCAAATCCTCGAAAAAAGTAATAGGATGCTGGCTTCCCAGTCAAGCAAACTGAGAGGAATATGTATATATGAAACAATTATCATTATATAACTATATATATTTTATGAAATTAATTAATGAAATAATAAATAAATCACTACTGGAAATTATGAAATTTCCGACCACTTGAAAGTGATTTTAAATCTTGATACCAAAAAAATGTCAGAAATAGCAACAAAGATTTTTCCGGATATCAAAAGTGGTCGAAACAAGATATTCGACTTGATTTAAGATTATTTCAGGTGGTTGGAAATTTCATAATTTCTAGTAGTGAATGGAAATAAAAGTTTTAGAACCCTGGCAGAAGCTATTAGGTATAGAATAAATATTACCAGCTCCGGTATCAGACTGCACCAGTGTTGGATTAACAAATAATCCTGAAAAAAGAAAAGAAAATCTTTAACTTGTTATCTATATTCTATCAGATCAGAAAATTATAAGAAAGTAAAATATTTTGGATCTTAAGTAACTGGAAAGCTTAAGATGAGATGGGAAAACTAAGTAGAAAAAGAATATATAGGGAAGGCATATGTTATACCATTAGAAGTTGTAAGGTGAAAGACGAAGAAGAAGAAGAATAAGAGCAGTATGAGCGGCTTGGTTTCCATTGGTCCTGATGATAACTCAACCAGCCTAAAGTAAAATCAGTAGTTTAGGAAGAGAATTTTGTTGGTATTATATTTTACCTAATTTAGCTTTTCTTTAGTTTTTGTTTTCAAACTTACTTACACGATCACTCAAATATATATAGTGAGGTATTGCGGGAACACTAAACTGGTCATCATAAAAAATCTCACTATTTATTTAGAATGACGAGTTCTTATGTTCAGTTTCTTTGACATAGTTATTGCTCATTAATGGTTACGTTATTCATTGCAGCAGTTATATTTTCCTTCTTTGATAGCCTTTACTACTGTTTGTACCTATGATTTATATCTTATTATATTTATTTTTATATGATTTCTAAATAAATAAAAGAGATGATTTTAATATTAATTTTATTTCAATTCATCTTTGAATCTCAATTTGACCACATTAATATTGACTTTGTTAAAAGTGTTAAATCTAGTCATTGTGAAAAATATTACTCCGTACTATATATATCATTATATCATCAAGGCTAATGGTTATTCGATGAAAAAATTAATGAATAATTAAATTTGAAAGCGCTAGCGAAGTATGTTGGCAGCACCCATATACTCCAACAACCACATTAATTAGTTCTTATTAATTTAATCACATTTATTCTTATTATGATTTATGACTTTGTTAGCATTATTCCATTATGTCAACTTTAACCCTCTATTTTATTTTTTCCTAGTACTACTGATACAATGGCTCTGTTTGGCAAACCTAACTGAAAAGTTATAAGCTAGGAGCTGAAAACTTAAGAGCTGTTAAACTAGTTGTTATGGTTGAAAGTGTTTGGTAAAATTAGCTTTTTGATAAGCTGATAAATGTAAAAAGACTAAAAAGGACATTTTCAAAAAATTTTAAGTAGTTTGTTTACATATTAAAATTTAACATTTTGTCTTCAACAAAATTTAACATTTTGAAATAAAATTATTAGTATAATTACGATCTAGCATCCCATAACATCTTCATCCTATTCATCATATATATTAGATAATCAATCTTAAAATAATAATAATAATAATAATAATAATAATAATAATTACGGGGAAACATGAGTTATCAAGGGATGAGAAGTCTCACTTAAGACTAATTATTTGTGGTAGGGTGGTGATTCGATTCTTATCACGAATATTGAAGGTTTAGGTTGGGATTTCGTTTATTGTGTGTAAAATTATACAATCGTTATACCCTACACCACGGTGCACATAGCACTGTGCGCCGCGCGTCTCCCAAAACGACGTCGTTTTGGGAGGCGCGGTAGGAAGTTGCTGGGATTATGTGTATTGGTTCATACAGTTATGTACATTTTTTATACAATTATGTACATTCTTTTTATACAATTATGTACATCCGAATCAGAAAATTTGTGTGTATTATGTTAATAGTTGATGTGTATTATGTTAAAAGTTTATGTTTATTATGTATTATGTTAGATTATGTGTATTATTTTTTAAAAAGAGTATGTATATTTTGTTATATAATTATGTACATTCATGTATACAATTATGTGTATTCTAGTATAAAATTATGTACATTCTTGAACAGCGGGTTTTTTTTTAAAGAAAAAATTACTGCCATTCACTGGGGCGGGAAATTTCAAAAAAAAAAAAATTAAAACGACGTCGTTTTGCATCTGGGCGCATAGTGCAACGCGCGCCATGGTGTAGGATATAAATTGTCAAAATTATACAATTATGTATTGGGTATCGAAATTATATTGACTCAATTCATTGGGGTCTAGAATATAACTTGAGTGAGGGGAATTATTCATATATATATTATATATATCATGGTGTAACGAATGGGCGGCGACAAGAAAAAAAAAAACATTTTGATAGGTGTCGGGGAACCCTGGATTGGACAAATAAAATAAAATTAAAAAAGAAAAGAAAAAGAAAAAAAACGTACGAAATATTAGTTTCATGCACTCATTATATCGTGCACCGCAGTGTATAATTGATTATGTACCACGCGTTAAAATAGCGTCGTTTCTGCGTATATAAGAGAGTGACATTACAGTGTGTCTAAATCGACACTGTCTCACGTATTATTTTTATATTATTAAATAAAACTGTAATTATATCAAAATGATACTGTAGTTGTGATGAAATGAAACGTACGGAATATTAGTTTCATGGGCGTAGACCACAATATATAAACGACGACATATTAAAGATGGGGAAAACGGCAGGGATGAGCTGTCGAACGTTCACGGCGACAAAAGTAAAGTTACTTATCATTGTATTAATGGTTGTGGGGTCTGAACTATGTTAATAATATATATATATATATATATATATATATATATATATATATGTATGCTACTTGCGTGTGTTCCACCTCATTCTTATTATACAACTTTAATTTATGCCCCCTCTATTATGTTTGTTGGATGACGAGAGAGTTCGCAATCACTATTTAAATGTGTGTATGTATTTATGTATAATATCTTAATAATTATATATGAGAACTGAATTGCACTAAGAAAATTAGGTTTGACGGGTTCGACTGAGAGGGTTCCTCCCTCTATTCTTTTTTAAATAATGAGGGAGTACTATTTTAGGGTGTGCAAGGAGAAAATTATATTTCTGTATAATAATTTACAAACTATACTAGATAGAGAGATAAACTCTGCACTATAAAGATTTTGTGTATGTAATGGCTCGACTGAGAAGGTGTTAGCGATTATGCCTCATCTATTCTAGCTTGCTAAGAGGTTGTTCACCTTTGCATACCTAGTTGAATTGATGTTGTACAACCCACAACAACATGCCAGGTTACACAACCCACAACAACGGGACCCGTGTAGCTTGCCATTTGCGACACGCTATCTCTTAAACTCAAACCTATAGTAAACCCCTACCAATAACCAAGGTCAAAGTTCTAATCAAATGCAGTGTTGCCAAAAAAAATCATAGACACATGCAAACAAATATAATAGGAAAAACAGCAAAAACCGAATAAAGTTGGTGGTATAGTCGGTTTTTATTGTAGTACTGGATGGATTAGAACTTGAATATTACAAGTCGATTGTAATAATTGGACAATGCATATTTATACAATGGATTTATAACTAATTGTAGCTAAACTCAGGGTAGCCACAAGACTTGGTCAAGATCTACGTGAATAGGCCACGGGGTGGGCTGAAGACGAACATTTCGAATCGGAGGTGGACTTTTGAGTCTACCTGCCTGTACAGAACAATTACAACATGCATGGTTCCTCTAATCTTTTGAGTATTATATATTCTAATTAAATTCCTAAATCATATTTAAATGAACAAGAGCACATTAAATTCGTAAGTAGTAGTACAATACAAAAATGAGAAGAAAAAAAAAAAAAAACATTAGAATTATGTTTCATGAGGAAGATCATCAAGGATGAAGGTACCTAGTTTGCCTGTCCGAAACAACGTTAGGAATTTCTTAGATATCATTATCCGGGCTTCTGAAGCCTTGTGAGGTATTTTGAATGCCTTCTGCAAAGCATCGAACTGTTGATCTATCAGAATTTCTAACTCGTCTTCCTTCTCCAAATCACCGTCAAATTCTGAGAGCGTAACACAGAGCGCCTGTTGAACCGCACCCACCATATCCTGCATGCATCGAATGAATATCGAAACACGAAAGATCAGATTTATCATAACAATATAATGATTCATGTTGATTGATCATCAAGTGAACAATCTCGGGTTCTCAAACTATTATTACCACTAAGCAGCAAAGCTTTTGATTACCTCAACGTAGCGCAGATCAGATTTATCTATAGGCTTCCTCCGCATGAGGAGATCCTTCATATTGTATTCAGGTTTGTTGTGAGCATCATCAAGATGAAGATCATCAGATTCTCGGCTAATCAGGTGCTTCCAGTGAAGAGGAGTGCCTCTAGTGTTCAAAACCGCCAAAAGGTACTGGGCAATTCGCTCTTCACCAACCACGGAATCTTTTACTGACCCTGAACAAAGATTTTGCAAAGAAACCTACTAATCATATGAGTTTTTAAACTTCAAATCAATTAATTAATTAAATCAAGAAACTTGAAAGTGTTATGTTAAAATGAGGAATGACCTGTGAGTGCTAGCTTCAGCCCAGTCTCTATATCAGGGATACTTGGTACCAACACCCCTGGAGTGTCCAAGACATATATGCTAGGTTGATGTGCAATCTGCATAAAATCATATTTTAATTTCAATATGTGTACTTTAGAAATAGTTATGAAAAATACGAGATAACAACGCATTTGTCTTTTGCAGAAAAAATATACAAATCTAAATAATAATTAGAGCCACAAAAATCATCACTAGATGTGATCACCAGAGGCCATATGGAATCCTTATCTATGGAAACTACACATGGAGAAATTATGATTATGAAATACATGTTCAGATATTCCCAATAAAATAAACCTCCCCGTCCAAACCAGAGTTTGAGATTCACTAAGTTTTAAACATTTGACCTTGTATCCCGCAATATCTTGAGTCACACCAGGCAACGGCCCCACAGTGGCTCTTTTTTTCTTTCCCTGCGCTAAGACAAATCTCAAAACCGTCATTGCTAGAGAAACGCGTCCAAACCAATATTACCATTAGATTTCCCTTACATGGTTCTATTGCATGGGAGAAAATAGCAGTAATGCAATATATATATATGCCTCACCTGGAAAACGAGCCGATGCAATTTGATGGATGGAATTGATTAGTGCTGATTTACCAACGTTCGGGACCCCAACTACCATGACTAGAAGTGTGGGTTCCCTTGAAATTGCCTCCTTCAGTTTAAACTCCGCAAGATCAAGCAGCTTCAGCACATGAATGTTGATTATTATATATACAAACCTAATAGAAAAAGGGTCACAAACAAATGATTCTAACCTTTTGTACCGAGCTTCTACTGTGTGCATTAATGGGAAGGCACTCTTGTTTACACGAACTGAAGTACTGAACCCACCTCTGAATGCAACCAAGTCACTACAAATGTTAGCATCGATTGCAAATCACAAAAATCAGAGAATGGACTGAATATTGCCTCCACTATGTGGAACTTCAAGGTATGAAACATAATCGACACAAGCTTCACTTATAATTTAATGTCCTACAATGAAGCTGGTAAAATATATGACATGGTCATATGTACTAATATCTCGATGGACAGCTTGAACTTTTGATAGTATAGACTATAGATGTCACAGTTTCTCTTACACATAGTGTAGCTATCATCAAGAACACTAGTGCCCTTGTATAGGCAGCAACAAGAAATACTCAAATTATGCAAATCGGCAATAAGAACTAAACTCAATGCATTGATTATTAGAAGAAATTAAAAAATCATAACTTTAGGAAAGGAAAGATCAAATGAGATTCTTTTGTGTGTTTCCTTGTGGCACTAGGTATTGGTCCTCCCATTTAACGAGCCGAGTCACAGTGATTTAACACAACACATCCACAAATCATGTCGGGCTGAGACGTGGAGGCCCGGGGCAAGGGATTTGGCCTTATGGGGGCAAGAGTATATTAGGTCTAAATAAAAGGAGTAAAGATACCAAACTAATCAAGCAACCATGGATGGTTCTTAAAAGATCAAAAATTGATATACTGAAGTAAAAAATTAAAAAATTATCAGAGAATGAGCAGCAATTACAGATATGAGAAACATAGGGTTTAATAGAATAGATATATAATCCATGAAAGAGAGAGGGAGTACATGAATGATGTTGGTATTGGCCAAATCCTTCTTGTTGAGGGCAATGAGCCTCCTTTTGCCGGAAAGGATTGGTTGCAAGTCTTCATGTGCCGACGACAAAGGAATCTGTACGCATTTGTGCAAATATTTATTTATTATTTGAAAAAAATAAGAAAAAAAAATGGATAAGATTGTTGGACAAGACATACACGAGCATCCCGAACTTCGATGACGAGGTCGGAGAGCTTGAGGCGTTGGCGGATGGCCCTGGTGGCGGCGGCCATGTGGCCGGGGAACCAATTGACAACACCGCCTCCTTTGTTGAACCCCAACTCTCCTAACCATCCTTTCTTCTTCACTATACTCCTTCCTGCCATCTCTATCTCTCTCTCTCTCTCTCAGAACGACGGTGTGAAGAACACGACGGTGAGTCGGAGACGGAGGGAAATCATTTTGGATCAAGGCCCAGTTATTATAAAACTTTCGGGCCCATGTTGATCATTTGGACCCTTGAGATGCCACTCGGCCCAAATGTTATGGCCAGCATAAATCGGATCGTTATGCTGTGCATCCGTATGCACCATGCATGGTGCATTCTGATGCAAAAACAACGTCGTTTTGACGTCTAATTTAAAAATAAAAAAATAACAAACAGAATTGCATGACTACACATCCATAATTTCATAACTATAAATCCAAAATTATATAACTACACATCCATAATTTCATAACTATAAATCTAGAATTGCATAACTACACATCCATAACTTCATAAGTATACATCCAGAATTGCATAACTACACATCCATAACTTCATAACTATACATCCAGAATTTCATAACTAAAAATCCAGAATGAATGAACTAAAAAATGAATAACATACTGTTATTGCTGGGAATCAAAACTGATTTTTTTAAGTAGAACGCGCGTTTTGATGCAAAACGACGTCGTTTTTGCATCTGCATGGTGCATACGGATGCACAGCATAATTTGCCGCATAAATCTGATTTGTCGTTTTAAATTTTGAAAGAATGAACAAATAAGCTCTCAAACTATTTTTTAAAAATTAATTGTGGCTCCCGATAATACTTATGCGGGTTGTGTTCTCAACGATTGTTTCAAGCTCAAACGATAATTCGATTATGTGCCGTTTCGTTTTATCTATAGATCAGCGAATAAGCTTGCTCATGTATTAGCAAGAGATGCTTCTTCTCAGTCTATCTTCGTAGTTGGTTTTCAGTTTATCCTTTATGTATTCAATAGTTGATTTCTAATAATTAATATATTCGTTGTTACCTTTCAAAAAAAAAATACAAAGTTTTATATTAACTATCTATTTTTATAAAAAGTGCAATTAAAATCTCTTTACCAATAAAATACATGTTATTGTAGGTTATGTTGTTGTAGCTTCACATATAATTTTCTTTGTATGAAGCCACATAGACTATTTTACAAGTTATATTGAAGGAAACGTACAGGTTAATAGTTAAATGGTACAATTGACTTTTCCTAAATAGTTTGGAGTTTTATTTGATCCTCTAAATTTTTTATAATTTTGATTTAGGGAGTATTTTTTATAGAAAATTTTATAATATACAAAAAAAAAAAAAAAAAAAAAAAGCCATAAACTATTATAAGAAAAAAGATTGGTAATTTTGTAGATAGGATAATATTTTTAATCTATACCTTTATACAAATAATATATATTGAGAAAGATAGATTATCCAAGGAAGCAATATATATAATGGATGCATAGTAAAAACAGGAAGGCTAATATAATGCTAATGCAATCCCTCTTCATTCTCATGGTTCATATGTCTGGGCTTTGACTTGCTTCTGCAAATGCTAATCATAAACTTCATAGCAAGTCATAATACAGTAGACACATTTTTCTTTGTGAAATCAACAAACTAGAATATATTGCTCATCAAGGAACATTAGACTTGTCTGAATTTCCTTCTCTTTTTGATCTGCAATCACACATTGCACTTAAGCTTGCCAAGAAGTTCTTCTTTTCAGGTAGATACGGCCTGGAGCTGCCTCGAAGCTCTTCGATCTGCATTTAATTTATTCATCGAATAAAAGCATAAAAGTTAGATAGATGACAGCCAGTAGATAGCAGAATATATATGATGCCATAATAATTTACCTGTTCGCGTAGAACTTGGTTTTCTAGTTTAATCTTTTCCTCCTACAGTTCAGTTCAGAAAAGAAGACACTTAAGTTTCACTGCAATTACACTTTTTTTCTGGAAGAAATGGTTTCTTTGATAATGTTACCTGCAATCTTGATTTTTCAAGCTGCTCAAATAGTACTTGCTCCTGAAATATAATTAACAACAGCTTTTAAATCAAATGCTTGTGAGAAATTAAACCTTTTTTTTTTGTCAATTTTACAATCATGAATACCTTTGTATCCTTAACAGTTAATATCCCTTCAGTCAGTTGATGCTCTAAATGCTGCAACTCTTTGAAGTTCAAGCCTTCAAGATCCTTTCCCATCATTCGACTTCGCATAATAATCAAGAAAAAGTATGGAGAAAATTAACCAACTTCAGTCCTTTATTTTCAATCACAAAATCACACAAAACAGTACAGTTTTTCTGAATTCTGCAGAGGGAGAACCAACTCTCTTTTTTTTGCCAAAAGTTTTCAGTGCATCATTCTTAGCCGGTTTAAACATTGCCAAATTGAACGATGATTCTGGCGTTAATACCCAATTTAGTCATCTATGTCCTACCAGATGACTCAATTAGGTAAAATTATCGAAGTTCAGGACCCACAAAAAGTCATTTAGGACTAAATTACCATAATCGATAGACTAAATTGGGTATTAACTGAATGAATCTGCATGGAGGCTTACCAGTGCAGCTTATGCATGTTTGCAAGTTCGGCTCTTAACGCGTTTACTTCAGGCTGCAAATCATGCTTCAACACTTGAGGCTGCAAATCATGCTTAATTCAAGAACAACAAATTAAAAACAACACATCATGTAACAAGTAACAAAGCTAAAGAAGTGTGTTTGCCTTAAATTAAACCTTGTGATGAATTAATTACATTAATGAGTGTTACCTCTGCAGCAATAATCTCAACTTTAGCAGGAGATTCTGCAGTGGTTGGAACTTTGTTGTACTTTGCCAGAACACGCTCCATGCTTCAAACAATAAGAAGATCTATCAGAGCCATTCAGTGTAGTGTATGGCAGTGCAACTATAGGCCTTTTTGGAGGAATAAAAATGCAACAGTTACATGGGCCCTGCCCAATTAATATTAGCCCATACTTCATTTTCATTCTTCTTCTTTTTTTTTTTTTTCTTTAGATTTTCAGCTTATTCTAAATTAATCATAAGTTGTTAAAGGAGATAAATCTCAGTCAGTCCTCGTCGTTGACTTGACTTTGTGCACAATTAGAGCGGTGATTTAAGTCAAGTAATCTACCATTTGAGCTAGCCCCGAGGAGTAGCTGACATTCATTGTTCATTTTCTTATAGGTTGTAAACATATTGTGGGTGTTTGGTAAATAGTTGTTAGTTGTTAGCTGATTGGGTTAGTAATTTGACTAGTTGATAACATTAGGGCCCTGTTTGGTAAAAAATTGGCCTATAGGCCAATTTTGTTATTTGGCCACTATTAATTGTTTGATTTAGTTAAAATATGAATAGAAATGTGTGGTTAATTAGCTTTTTGCAACTCCAAAAGGCTAAAATTCAAAAAGCTACTCCAAGCAACTTTTTCAATTAGCTTTTTGAGAAAAGAAATTATATCAAACAGCTATCAACTAACAGCTAATTTACCAAACACTTTTCTACAATCATCTAATGTTATCAACTATTTATACCCTTTAATTAACACAATCAGCTAACAGCAAACAGCTATCAGCTAACAGCCGTTTTACCAAACAGGGCCTAGGTGATTGTAGAAAAATATTTGATAAATTAGTTGTTAGTTGATAAATGATTACATGTATAATGACTTTTTCAAAAAAACTAATCAAAAAAAAAAATGCTTTGAGCCGCTCTTTAAATTTTACTCCGTAGTATTTAGGAGCAATAAGCTGTTATAAAAAATTAATTAATTAATCAAACACTCATTTACCAAACACATTTCTACCATCAGCTAATATTATCAACTAGTTATGCTCTATATAACCCAATCAGTTACACAAAGTCCTTGATTGTTTAACCAAGTCAAACAACTAATAGTGGTCAAATAAGCTAAAATTGAGTGGTAACTATTTTACCAAATCCGGCCAAAAACATATGATCAAACGTAACATTAAAAGAAGCAAATTAAAAGATAAATGTTAGGCAAATCATATGAAAGCAAAAGATGAACCTGGAACTAGCAAATTCATAGAGCCTGCCGGTGCCGGAGAAGACGATAACAGCAACCTCGGCATCGCAGAGAATGGACAACTCCTTAGCCTTCTTCAGCAGCCCCGCCCGGCGTTTAGAGAATGTCACCTGTCTGCTGTTTATGTTCTCTATCTTCTTTATCTCTATCTTCCCTCTCCCCATCTCTCTCTCTCTCTCTCTCTCTCTCTCTCAATAAAGATTACTCTCGATCTCTTCTAATGAATAAGCGGTTTTTATTTTGTTATATTTTTGGTAGAAATTGTTGCCATCTTGGGGGTTAATGGAGGAAAGTGAAACTGCATTTGGAAGAAAAATAGAAAGGAAATAATGGGGGGTGGGGTGGGGGTTGTTGTATATATATGTATATATATTTCCTTTTTTGGAACGTTACCATAAACGCCTTCTCATCAGTCATCATACCATCCCACCTTTTTCTTCTTTCCCACAACTTTGCTATTTCTTTCCCCTTGTCTTATCTCCAAACACTGTATATATATTACCAGTACTATTTATGTCCTTTCAATTTTTAATTGGGAAAATTATAATTTATGTCATTCCTATACCAACTATCAATGTCACTCCCTGAATTATTAGTGGTGTAAATGTTGTTCTTCAATTTTCAAAATGGTACATATAGTGCTCATAGTGTAAATGATGCTCCTCGTTTTTCAAAACAGTACATATATTGTCCATCCCGTACGGTCACTACTGAAAATTATTGAATTTTCGACCACCTGAAAGTGATCTTAAATCAAGTTGAAAACAAAAAGTGGGCGGAAATAGCAACAAGGGTTTTTCCGGATACCAAAAGTGGTCGGAACAAGACTTTTGACTTGATTTAAGATAACTTTCAGGTGGTCGGAAATTTCAGAATTTTCAGTAGTGAGTACGAGAGGGGCAATATATGTATCACTTTTTATAATTGAGGAGCAACATTTACACCACTAATAATTCAGGGGTGACATTGATAATTGACATATTATGAAGGAGCATAAATTACAATTTTCCCTTTTTAAATAATATATTTCCTCACTTTAATATCTTGAAATTACGTTTTTTTTTTAATTTATGTGTTTACTAGTGATATTCTTATTTAGGTAACCGATACTGAAATTAAAATTGCATCATAATATGATATAATATAACAGTTCATAATTACTAACATGACAAAAACATTGCCCAAAAAGGCAAAATATCTCACCCAAAATATATTTTGACCAACAAAATTTGTGGAGGTGGCAATTCATGATGGCCCAACGACTCATTAGGTGAAGGGATCCGTGCATGGTACCCACAGAAATCCACTATAATGGGTGCAACTCTCACATTGTCATAATCTGTCATTCAAGAATCAACTGAGCTACCCGTGAAGAATGACGATAGACTTGGTGAAATTATGGCTGGCAAGATTTGGTGTAATGGATGAAGTTGATAGGCATATTGACTACTTTTGAAGATGGCATTTGGTAGACAGAAAATTCACCTTTTGTGTAATATTTGACATGCGAAATTTCGAGTCAATGAGAATCTAATTCTATGATATCAACCCAAACACTGTCAAACATTACTTACAAGGGAAAGTGTAATACTTTTACATTTTCACTTTCTCTTATAAGTAACATATAAATATTACATTTTCCGGCTCGTCTAAGGACTTATGAGATAGTCTTACACAAATATGACCCTTTACGTATTTATCTTTTTTTCTACATGTTAAAAATATCTTATAAATATAAGAATTTAACTCTCACATTATGAAGGATAACAACACTAGTTATCGAAAAAAAAAATTTCTCAACATTTTTTTACACATACTATTTTAAATTTGAATATTCTTGTTTCATAAATTTTTTTAGCATATAGTTATTAAACTCTCAATTATTCATAATGTTTTTTTTCTATTAACATAAACCACAAAAGAACTAAATATGAATAATTGTGTATTTGTGGATTCTTGATTGCTTAGCACTTGATGTATAAAATATTGTGTTTTATACGCCTTAAATTTCCAATCTTTTTTAGGAGTTGCGTAGTATGTTGCCTTTTGCATGTATACTGAAATAGCAATACCCATACTAAACTTTCACAACTCTTAAAAAGTAAGCATCTATCTGGGTAATGCTGTGTCACACTTCTGAAGAATCATACTTCATTTTGATATCATCATTTTTAGTGTAAAGCACTCCATTGCTTTGCCTTTCTACATTTTGTAAATATAGAAGGAATTTATGGCAATGTGAATAAGTTAAACAACCAAAAACCAGATCTAGAAATACCAACAGAAAGTGCAAGTAAACATATACACCAGAAGGAGAAAAATAGTTGGAAGCAAATATCTTTCATATTAAGCCAGGAGAGGAGGAGATGATCATTCAACTCACATTCAACTCAAAGCGGAAGAAGCTTTCTGTTCGTCTTTCTTGAAGAGCTGAGCATGCTGTTGAACTGCAATACTTTTGCGGGATTTTGTAGTAAGAAGTAAACATGTGATCAAGGAAGAGGGGAGAACTATCTCCGGCTTGTGGATGGAGTTATGATCAGACATTAGAGCTGTGCAGGTCCTGCGGGGGTGTATGACATAACCAGGTAGACAGTGCTGAACACGTGTAGATTGCAGCGGATGGAACAGAGCTCTTCGGGCCCATCCCCGTAAGAGCTTAAATCCACACGAGCAATTTCCCCAGCGCAAAAATTTCCAGCTAGAGGAACCATGGGGAGGTTTTCCACGAAAGGCGAGCTATCAGCATTAGCATGTCCAAAAAACGACTCACCGCGGCCGCAGCAACAGAAAGAAATGCCACCTAAAATTGCCTTCTTATCAATGTTTACAGCATCACCACTTGGATGATTTCTGCAGTCATATTCCTGCTTCAAACATCTAAGGTTGTCGGCAATCTTTTTGCAAGAAGATAGTGCAGTATTAGAATCTGAAATGTAGAAACGGAACAAATCTCCACTTTTGATGCCAAGACCATTGACATATAAGTACTCCTCGTCTCCTCTGAAAACAAAAAGAAACATGTTTCTTTCTTGGATGAAAAAAGGGAGAAAATTAATGCAGTGGAGTAAGATGTCCATCAAGCACATGTAAATGTAGTAAACTACTTGCTAGCAAAACTACAACTCATATATCATTAAGAGAATTGTAATAATACTCTCCAAGAGTACAATACTAGTAGTACAAGCACACATTTCCAGTTACCTCCCTCCCGATAAACATGAAAATGAAAATGAAGCAAAGGGAGCATAGACAATTCCAACTGAAAGCCCCTTGTACATTATATGCATTACATCACTAATGAAAAGTGCCATTTTAGATGTTTAACTTGTTATACAGGAGAGAGAACCTACTTTCTGAATATCAAGAAATGAAGATCAAAGAAAATCAAACAAGTAAAATGGGTGCAAAATATTACCTCAAGACCTCATGAAATTCCTGAAAAGTACTCCATTTTACTTTTTCCTCCCCAATGGAGCACTTTCTTCTTTTCATGACTCCAATAAATAGAGCTTGGCAATGGAAATAATCTCCTACCTGCAGGAATTTAAGGACAAAAGAATTTATTACAGTGGAAGAAAATCTTGCTTTGACATGCACATGTTAAAATTTTCGTTAATTAAACATTGAAAAACATAAGTGAACACAACATGACGGTACACAGAGAATAACCAACTCATACACACCCACACCTCAAAAGGTAACGACCAGTCTTCTACAAACATGGGATAACGACCATCCATAGTTGTTTATTATGTCCATTAGAAGTGGTAGTAGTACCAACTCAGTTACTCAGCAATTGCAGGTTTTACTCTACCTCATGAAAGATCTGCTCTAACAGAGTTTGACCATCAAGGTCCTCCTGCTCTGCTCCCCTCTTAGCAGTCAGCCATGTGGTATTGCCAGTGCGTCTCTCTCTTACAGAAACAGCTTTGTATGTAGGTCCAAAAGCTGATATGCCATTGGACAACATAACATGAAATTGAGTTTCCCCCACACCTGCTCATTGAAGCCCAAAAGATTTTAAATGGCAATAAAGTTTTACAGAATATATGCATGGCATGGACGCATTAAAGCCCAGCTGCCCAGGCTGTAACAGAATCAAACAACTTCTTAACCTCACTCCAAAAAGTTCCTCTCGTTATAACTAAACCAGTTTTGTCATTATTCCATTCCTTCATTAAAAGCTAAGTGTGTTTTATTTCTTCTTCCCCATACACCTTTCTTATTTTTCAACTTTCCCGTATGGTAACAAGACAAACCCAAATGTTTAGTTCATGAGAGAAAAAATACCAGGAGGCTTGTCTCTGTCCTTTGCAAATACAAGAGCTAGAGCTGCAGGAGTACAATCTTGATTAATTGTGGCATTAACTCCATTATCAATTTGGTATAAGAATTTGCCAGCTCCATCACCCACAATTACAGTCTCTCCAGAAAATGCATAATCTGCAAACCAAAAAAAGGTTGAAGCAAAATTAAAAGATGAAGTCTTGGTTCATTCCAATGAAAAATGGAGGGCAAAATAATGCTCTAAAAGATACATATATATAAATTATAGTTGCCCATAATTTCAAAATACAAAAGCACCATTTCATTAAATACTCACCCATCTTCACAAGAACATCTTTCATATCAGTTTCTTGGTCCTAGCACAACAATTAGCTCATTTGTGAGATTCAAAAATAAATCCTACCAATACGTCAGAGCACCCAATGGCCCTTAAATTTTGTTGCAACTTTATACACCTGCAATGTAATGTGTAAAAGGGATGGATTATTGAAACATTAAAAGATATACAACTTACTGAGAACAATATAATCCCCTGTGGGGATGTGGTGCCAGAAACTAAAGATGAGTATTCCCTGATACTCATCACAAATTCATCAACCATGAGTCCTCGAGTTCCCTGCAATGTTGCCCAATCAAATTGTTCAAACATCTATGCACAACAATTAATAACACATCCAATCAAATACAAGTAAACCTTATATAAATATTGAAAGCAAGCACACCAATCTCCCACATAAAATGAAACTGATATTCTTACCCGATTATTCCACAATAAAGGGATCAAATTGGCTTTCAATCCCGGCAAGAAACCAACACTCAACAAGACTCCTACATTTGCATTCGGCAACATATTAACATCCTCAACGTTGTCGCCATCATCATCATCAACTATGTCCCATTGAACCTGGAGAAATTTCAGTGACTTCCACCTCAATTTTCATGATCAGAAATCAAACCAATCAAACTGAAAGTTTCATTACATTGTTTAGTCATTGAACCAACCTCTTGAAACTCATGAGTTAGTGCATCTCTACCAATAATTCCTTGTGATGTGCAAGTAATTACTGGAATTCTGGAGTCCAATCTCCTAGAAATCTACAAACCATAGAATTTCAATTACAACAAAAGAACACTTATGGTACAGAGACTCTTCTCAACAATTATAAGACTCAGAGAATGTAAAACATTCCTAAAATCCCAACTTGTCCATTGTTGTATATATATACACACACACAGTCACACAGACATATGAAATGAGCTATCGACCCTGCGCATCCATATATTCGCAGAATAATAATAAACGTTGTAAATTCACTAGTAATTCTGAAGCTCAATTTGATTATTTAATTCTCGAGAGCAGAAACATAGAGGTAGATAGAGGTTTTACGAGTGCATGAGCGTCTTCCAAGCTAAAACTGGGGCCAACGGAAGCAATGGCGAACTGAGGTCGAATCGGCTGTGATAGAACCTCGTCAATTACCTCATTTACAGCATCCTACATCACGTAGCCACAAAATTTAGTAATTTCTCGGAAAATTAATTGAATTTTACGGGGCATCGGGGCATGAGACCTGAAGGGAAGGGTTGCGAGAGAGAGCGGAGGAGAACTTGGGGTAGGAGAGGATGCGGGTGGCGATAAGGTTCCAAGAGCGGCAAACGCAGGCGACGGTGGCGCAAAACGGCGCCGGGAGGCGGGAGAAGATGTTGTGAAGAAGATCGTCGCCGATCGAGTCGATGGTGGCGGCTTCTCGGTGCATCTGTCTGTGTATGAGTGAAGGATCCTCCATTTCCAAGGCGGCGTTGAGTGTATCACTCCACCTCTACGTCTAGGGACTAGGGGCCGGGTCACTACTCTCCTGGCGGCGGAAATGGAGAAACGAGAATAATCTGCCACAACTTGCCTTATTTTATTTTCAACCCTCGCACTTTTATAAATTACTGTTTCGATCACCTTTTGCCTTTTTGGCCCCTACAAATACTGAATTTGATGACGTGATAATGAGACAATAAATATTCCTATTTAAAAATATTCTTTAAAGATACTCCGTATCATTTTAAAATTATTAAATTAGTATTGTTGATATTTTTATAGTTTTTTAGATGACACCTAGGATAAAGGTGTAGGAAAAAAAAAACAAAATGGAAAAACAAAAATAAAAAGTTGAAAAACTTTAAAAAAAAAAAAAAAAAACAAACAAACAAAGAAATACGTTTTGGCGTTAAAGTGGCAGTGATGGCCACTCTGATGCGCCTTAGTGGGTGCGTGTGGAAGTGCAAAGTGCGCGTAACGCCTGGTGGCCAATCTGACGTGCCCTAGTGGGCGTGTGTAGAGGCGCAAAGTGCGCCTAACGCGCATCCAACGATCTTTTTTTTTTTTTCTCCTGCAAAAAATTATGTTTTGCAGGAGAAAAAAATTATCTTCAAACTATTGTCTCCCATCAGATAAAATCAATGCTACTGTTCTAAAAAGTGAAAAAAATTCATTGGTATAGATGCTCTAAGGGATGCTTATTTCAATTTGGCCCCCAATTTTTAGAGGTCTTATGGAACTACCCTAGGCCGGCTCTACAGGAGCAGGGAGTGCAATGATTCGAAAAAAGTACTCAAATAGGTAAAGTATATTTTCGTATCATAAAGTCACAAATTCGATTAATGCTAGTATTTTTTGAGTCAAACTTGTCGCACAAAATTTGTCAGTGCACTTCATTGTGAGCATAATTTAGCTAATACACAACTTTTGGATCTGAATTTTCCTAAATCTTCCCTAAAGAAAAAAAAGAATGGAGTGCAGTGGCTTTGTACAAATGAAAAGGCAAAAGCTCAAGAATGAAAACGAAAACAAAATAAGTGCCCAGAAGTCAGAGTGGACTCAGTAGTCACGTGCAATAATGCAGACCAATAATCTTGGATTAAACATTCACCATATGATTCGTCAACAGAATCATAAGCATTGACAGATCCTCACCAAAGCTCAGAGTACAATAATTGGGGCCGGAAAATTGAAATCCTGTTAGGGGATGTTTGGTTGGATGGAAAAGTCTTTCTATGAAAAATATTTTTTTTTAAGTGAAGGAAAATATTAATTTTTGGTATTTGGTTCTTTATTGAAAAATGAATTTTTTAAATTTAAAAAAAACAAAATTCTTGGTTAGACATGAGATTTTATTTTTCATGGAAGATGGGTATAAAAAATGATACAATTTGACTATTTTACCCTTGTTTTCTTTCTTATTATTCTTATTAATTTGTAGGGACATAGATTTTTATACTCTTATTCCTTACAATTCCAAATCTAATCAAACAAGAGAATTAGTATTTCTAATAATTTTTTTCCACCAATCAAACAATAAAATTCATCTTCTTAGTACTTACTTTTTACATGTAATTTCAATTTCATTTCCTTTAAAATACTTTTCGCGAACCAAATGGACCCTTAGTGTTAGGCACCAAACTAAATGCATACACATCACTTATGAACAAATGTGTTTGAAGCTGCTTCCCTTGCTTAAACTTCATCAAACTACCATCTAAGGTTTCCAGGAAATGTAGTATAATACTTGTGGATAAAGAGCAGCAAATAGTGGGAGCTATCTCAAATCCAGGTTGGAATAATACCCAAAGAATCATTTAATTCAAAGCTTCAGAAAGGAAATTCCCAAAAGAGAAAAACTCCATTGCATTCCTACTTGATGTACATGCACAAAGAGAGAAGAAACAAAGGATAAAAAAAAATAGCCCATAGCTACTGATCTTTGATCTTTGATCTTTGCTACAACAAGATTTTAATTTTTTTTTACTCTTTCCTGCTGGATCTAATTTACAGTGGCCTAAAAATGAGATGGATAGGTGATAATCAATTAAACACAAGTAAGATCAAGAATTTACTGACTTTGAAGACCAAGTTGTTCATTCTTTTTGATAGTGGAATGATAATAGGCTCGGAGAAGTCTCTTTCGAAATCTTCCAAGGTGCAATCTTATATTCTGGTGATCGAGGTATATCTTTTTCGTGAACTCCCAGCCCTTCTCGTTCACGCTGTTAGGGTCCTTCAGTACAGGGTCATCTTCATCATATTCGTCGTATAAAGAGCTTTCTTTAGCAAGGATTTTGTAGCCAATGTACCTTAGTCCCAGTTTCTTTGCGGGTTCCCCATAGTAAGTCTCGGCTGCCCAGTCTGTTCCAAGGGGGATGATTTGAATGAAGATTGCCCCGGGCTTCAAGAACAGGAAATGAGTCATGGCAGCCCCGTGAACTCCAACCAAAACGTCACTCGAATTGAGAACCCGATAGGCTTTTGCAAGCTCGGTGGTCCTAGCAGGCCTCAAAATCTCAACTTGGAACCCAATTTCTTCAGCCATTTTGATCAACGAGTCCTCGTTTATTATCGCTCTTGAATCATTCCTAGTTATTATGACCAGTTTAGGTGCCATCGAGTTTTGCTTATGCAATATTGGCATCTCTATTGAGGTATTAGCTTCACGTTCTTCATCCTGAATTAGACCTTGTATCCTAGGCCAATAAGCTCGGTCCAGAAGCTCCCTAAAATCCCCGATGCCCTTATTCCCTTTCATCAACGAAGAATCAATACTTAGCTCATCATGAATCCTCAAACCGACATGGACTTCAGGGAAGCAATGGGTTCTATTGTCTCGAAAATCTATGGCTGGGTAATCAGAGAGCTGCGAGAGAACGTTGCCATACTTGGTAATCCACCAGTTATGATATTCAAGGATAACGAAAACTACCCTCTTCTCGAAACGCTGGGAAGTGATGTAGAGAGGCAGAATTCCATCGTTGAATTCGTGGTAAAGATTACCAGTGTACCCTCCCGTCGAGAAGAACACAGCAGGGACACCGTGCTGGACATCACACCTGTGATGAACCCCCGATTTCTGCCCCTTCACAACAAGGCCTAACTCATCAATCGTGCCCATGACACTCGTTTCCCACTTTCTTGTATACGGTCTGATCTTTTCACGAGTACTCCCCAGAAAATAATCATTGTTCTTGTAAAGGATAATTGATGATGAACCAGAATCTGTTCTTATATCCCCTTTCATAACACAAACATCTGATCTAAAGCTACTTCTATCACAACATATGGTCCCTGCAGTCACATAATTTACTGTTCCATTATTATTTGCAGACAATGAACTAAACACACAAATACTAGGTTACACAACATAAACAAAAGTAACAGATTCCCCTTTCACATATCCAAGAACAAATTAAAGCATTTCATCATCATATCCTACTCAAACTGAATAGATAGAACTGGAAAACAATTTCATGCCATGCTGACACTAAGCTTACCCAGTACCCACCAAACCAATAAGGAAAAAAACACTTCAAAATCATCAAAATATGGGTTATCCATATCTGGAACTGTACATGCTGATACTTAAGTTAAATCCAAAGATAGAATAAAAATAACAGACCCTGAAGATTAGTCCACAGAAATAGCTGATAAAAAGTGAATCTTTATATTTTAAAAGCAGAAGAAGAGAGTAGACTAACCATTAGAGATAGAAGAGCACATGGAAGCCTTTGAATCGGTTTCATGAGCAAGCCCATCACCTTCAAAGCCAAAAGAGTCTGTTCCCACACAGATGTAAAATCAGAAACCAGAAAAAGGAAGGAGTCAAAGAATGAGAGAGAGAGAGAGAGAGAGAGAGAGAGAGAGAGAGAGAGAGAGAGAGAGAGAGGGATTTACTGAGGAGCTGGGGTGCAAGAATAAAGCAGCAAGAAATAAGAGACAGAAAGAGGAGAGACAGAAGCTTGGGCTTTGCTCTCTTGCTGTTATAGCCATTATTCCCACACACCAAACCCAGGGGGTGATGAGATTCCTCGTCTTCATGATCAACATCAACCCCTTTCTTCACAGATTGATGGTTTCTCTGGTAGTACACCATCCTAATCGCTATACTCCTGCACCAGGGTGTATGTACACGGTGCAAAAATGGAGCAAAGATGATAGCTTTATGGGCAAAAAACAGTGTAAAATAAGAGATTTTTGTTTGTATCTCGGGAAATGAAAATGGGTATGGGAGGTTTGCTTAAGGGAAGGTTTTTTTCTGCACTCTTTTTGCAGATTACAAGGAAGAAAAAGGAAAGAATGGAGTTGGCGTTGGGCATGGGAGGGAATCCTGTGGGGTCGCCCCTGAAACGTCTACAGTCTACTAATAAGAAATATATGGTCAAATTAGCCACATGCCAACAAAACTTTCTCAAACATTTTTGCTTATTTAGTCTTTGTAACAACTTATTGTTCTAAAACATTAAAATTCTAAAAATTATTCAAAATATCTTTTTCAATTAACTTGTTAAGAAAATAAATTATATGAGATAATGCTATCAACTAGTCAAACACGCTAACTCAATCCGCTAATAACTAACAAATAGCATCTATTTGCCAAACACCCACAATAGCTAATAAGCTAATTAATTAAAATTAAAGTGTTTGATAAAATTAATTGTTGAATTAGTTGTAAAGAAAACATAAAAAAGATAAACTAAAATATTAAGATTTTGACTAATGAAGGGTGAATGGTATCATTTTTATAAATTAATACAGATTTTAAAAAAAGAAAAAAAATAGTTAAAAAGTCATGAGTTTATTTTGAAATGCTATTTGAGATAGTATTTTACAATAAACTATTATTTTAAGTTCCTCATGTTTTATTAAACATATGTTTGGATTGATTGGTGCACACCAAATATTTTCTAATAAGGTTTTTAAAAAATAATAATAATAATAATAACAAAATTATATACATTTTTGCATAAATTTTGTACCATATTATATTTTGGTAAGATGGGATAATCACATTCTTTAACTATGTAATTTCAAATTAAAATGTATTACCGTAAAATTTGTACACATATTGACTTTTCTCTTTTTCTGCACAATGCTATGGGCTCGATTAAAATAGTATGAACAAAAATCGAACTTGTAATCTAAAAAATATTAACAATAATCAAACATTAACATATAACCTTTTAGTACAAGAATAATGTTCCATATATCTACTAATTTACATAATATGTACAATTGCCAATCAATTATGACATTAACCATATTGGTCTAAACGTACGAATCATTCCCCATCTTCATTTTCTCTTTTCAAACACACTTCATTTTCCATACGAAAGCTATCTTGTTGATTAGCATTAGCATTGGCTCTCATAATGTCATTTGTCATCAATGCATCTACATCTTATCTACACATACTTTCTCGTGTAACAATTATAACCTTAATTTATTTCCAAATTCTTTAACACCACAATTTTAAGTATTGATTTTTTTTTTTTTGGGTCCTTTTTAATTGAAATGTTGGCGTGTTGGATTTTGACAAGTAAATAAATTGAATAAATGGCATAATATTTGTTAATTTCTCCCAATATATTAAAGAGAACAATGGAGATAATGGACTTCCATTCATGCATGTGTATACACAATATATCAAGCTAGCTCATTATAAGATATTTTCATTTTGAAGCAAGATAAAATAGCTTATAAATTATAAATGCCCATAATCTACATTTTGATCCCATCATATACAACTTACGTCAAGAGTAACCCCAATAGAAATTTTGGTGAGTTCTTGAAGGTTTTTTTTTTTTTTTTTTTTTTTTTTTTTTTTTAATTTATTAAGGTGAAGGTGAGAGGAGAGAGAGAAGTTGGAATCTATTATCTATTATTATACTTATAATAATAGAAGATTTTTGTAAACTCAATCGGGTTGCTTGAGAGATGAGTGATTGAGTGGTTAAAAAACATTGAAAGATATTTAGAATTTTAATAGATTAATACTTCTCTCTAATTTATTTTATTTAAAAAAAAAAACGTAAATTTAATTTTTTTGTACAAATAAAATTAACGTATAAAAATATATTATTAAAAACTTATAATTAAGATATTGTAAGTAACGCATAATTCAGATTTATGTCATAACTACATGTTTATTCAGTTACAACTACATATTCATTATGTCACTAATAGATTAATCAAATTTTACAATATATATATATATATATATATATATATATATATATATATATATATATTATCCCCCTCCCCCATCTAATAATTTATAATGTATATTCTTTTAAATTTTGCATCTTTTATTCACCGGGTGAAAATTATTCAAACTTGTAAGCATAAATACTTCAAATAACCATGGACACAAATATTTTTTATAATGAAATATGCTATAAAAATATTACAATTAATACTATCACTTTACTAAATAATTTCTTCATGTATGATATAGAATAAAAAAAGATATATGTTCACATTCAATATAATATTATTGGCCTACAAATTGAACAGAAATCCAAGAAATCTTCAAACCATATATTCAACTTGCTTGAAGGGAAATTGGGCAGCATACTTTTAGTAACTGCTTTTTAATTAGTGGCATTTTTGTTACAAATTAAAGAAAAGAATTTGTGCTTCCTTTGCGTTTCAAAAAACATTGTCTCGATGCACATGCCTGTCACGTGCAGTTGCCAAGCCCAACCCCACCATACAAACAAAACCATATGGGGGCATGTTAAAACACCAGAATGTGCCATCTTCTCTCACATATATACGCAACTTGCTTATACTAATATAGTTTTTGGAAGAAATTCTAGGCGGTTACCTTTTACCTTTTTGGTTATTATATTAAATATTCTTTCATTCTTATTTTAACATTATCATATATATATATTGAAAGCTAGTGACTCTATTCATTATAATATAAGAGAGTCACTACATGTCATCTGAGCACAAGGTGCTTGGCACATTATCATATATATTTAAGATGCATTTAAAAGAGTAATCAAAATATTTGAAATGTTTGGTGCTCTAATCATCTTACAGAAGATTATTTTAATGAACTGTAATTGAAATGATTGTGATGAACATATAAGATATAAATATAAATGTGCAGACCAAATATTAGTTTAAACTTTTAGTTGAGATGGAGTCAATCCTATGTTGGATTTCAAATGAAAGAAGTTTTATAACACGTAAATATTATTGTTTCATTGATCGAGCATTACGATTACACTACATCTATCATTAATCATATATTTTCATGGTAGCAAATATCACTTTTGGTTCCACGAGTATTAGCAAAATGACAGTTTTGGTTCACATGTTTAATTCCTACTAATTTTCATCCACGACTATTGTTTTAGTACAATTTTTCATCAATTACTAGTGTTTTAGTGTCAACGTTCATCACGCCGGTCACCCCTTCGTTTAAAACATGTCGAAATATAAAATTATGAAGGGTATTTTCGTTATTTTCAAATTAAGATCCCAAATTGAGCGTAAATAAAGAAATTGAGGCCCTAAGATTGATCTCAATTCACAATTGTCATCCTCAAATTAAGGTAGGATGAAAATGAGAATTGCAAATTGGGATCGATTTTAGGACTTAAATCTCTTTATTCATGCTCAAATTGGGATCTCAATGTGAAAATGGCGAAAATACCCTTAAAATTTTTAAATTTTGAAATTACATTGTTTGGTACGGAGAAATAGAATTATTGAGAATGAGAATGGAAGAAGTGATATAAATACTAAAATGACCCGGTATAATAATAATAGGGTAAAAAAGTCTTTTTCTTCTATTTTCCCTTTCCTTTCTCTATTGAATTGCAATTCATATGGGTAGGATATGAATTGCAATTCCCTTCAGCCAAATACGATAATTCCGATAATCATAGAATTATATTGTAATTAAATTGGATGACTACATCCAACCAAACAATCCATTACTCTCTATCAGGGCCAGATTTTAGGTTTTTGTGGCCCTATTCTAGTAAATTAATGAGGTCCAACCAAAATCACAATTTTTAAAACCAATATTATGCAAGTTTCGAACATTTGACCTCCAAGTTAAAATACAATAAATACACATTTTTACCATCTCTTTATGGAACCTTTTAAGTATAATTGAAAACTTTTAATATTTATTTCTAAACTAGTTAGGTAAAAATTAAATATTGGACCTCTAAAATTTAGGGTCTCTCTAAAATTGAAGATCCTGTACAGTAGCCCAGCTTGCACAGCCTAAAATCCGGCCCTGCTCTCTATGATAAACTTTGTATAGGTTGTAGCAATTAGCCAATTACAAATTATTTAAACATGCAATTAAGTTGGTGTATGTAGGAGTGGCCTAGTTCAAAGTTTACCGTTGAATGGAGAGTGGAGAGGGGAGCGGAGGGTACGTTAATAATTGTAAGGAAAGTAGCGAGAAGTGACAAGGATGTCAGGTCCAATAGAGTTGTACAGACTGGACCGTTTTTAGATTCCATAGCCGTATGGATCCCAGCAAAGATGCAACGCCCTTTCTTTACACACTTATCCACTTCCAAGCTGGCCGCATATCCTACTATTTCCATCATCACCGGACCCACCATGTCACACTTCACTTATTTAATTTGCATGCATGTGAACCCACAACTTATTATAAAATAAAAGTAGCCCCGTGAGACTAGTTCGAGTGATAGATTAAATGACCAAATATCAATTTTAGTTTCACGAGTATTAGTAAAATGATAATTTTGATTAACATATTTAATTTCTAGTAATTTTTATTCACGATTATTATTTTAGTATCAAAATTCATCATGCTGGTTACCTATTTGTTTAAGACATGCCGAAATATGAAATTATTAAGGGTGTTTTTGTCCTTTTTTCAAATTACGATCCTAATTTGAGCATGAATAAATGGATTTAAGCTTTAAGATCAATTTCAATTCGCAGTTCTCCTCCTCAAATTAAGGTAGGATGAGGAGGAAAACTACGAATTGGAATCGATCTTAGGGCTTAATTCCATTTATTAATGCTCAAATTGTGATCTTAAGTTGAAAAATGACGAAAATACCCTTAAAAATTTTAGATTTACACATGTCTTAAATTGGTGGGTGACCGGTGCGATGAATTTTAGCACTAAAACAATAGTCGTGGATGTAAATCGGTACTAAAATAATAGTCGTCGATGAAAATTAGTAGAAATTAAACATGTGGACCAAAATTGTCATTTTGCTAGTACTCGTGGGATCAAATTTGGTATTTGCTCTAGATTAAATTGTCTAGTCTAAAATCACCACGGCCACTTTAGCTCTAGGATGAAGATTTGACTCTCACCAACAAGACTTTGGAGTTAAGGA